TTTATAGCGTCAACTAAGATTTTTACTTTCCGTGAGAAAATTTAGTTGTCATTACAACTAATGCGGCACAACATATAATTAACATATAATTGCTTTAACTGTTTCTTAATCTAACTGTCACTCCGAGGGCATAAAAAACTTTTTTTAAATATAAGAATTATGTCATGTTTTGTAAAATTAGTTGTTGCGTCGAAAAAATATTTTTTTAACGGTTACTTAAAGTTTTAGTTGGTGCTTTAATAAAAAAGTTTTTTTTGTTGTACCAAACATGAGTATGGTCGTGTGAGCACTTGGATATTTTTTTTTCATGTCAGGAAAAGGATAAGTTATTTTGATATTCATAACTATCTATGTTTTCTGATCTTGATTAAGGAATAATTGAAAGAAACTTTTATTATTTTTGCTATTCGTGCAGAAAAAACAACAAGCTGAATAATAATATTACAAAAATTATTAAATTTCAAATAAAAAATTTATTTAAAAAAATGAAAGAAAAAAGTTATTTCATTGAATTAAATAAATATTTAAACATCTAATAGCTAAAATTGAACCTATACCGACAAAAATTTTTTTAAATAATAAAAAAGCGTTAAAAAGTTACGTTTCTTGGTATTAGAAACTTGGCAGAATCAATTTTGAAAAACTATAATTTACTTTTACGAAATGAATTTTTTCCCCTATTTTTTCGGAGACTTTATTTTTGATATAAAAGTTTCCTACCCATAAAAAAATTTTCAAACATTTTTTAAGATATTTATAAATATTTAAATATTTTGAAAATAATGTAATATTGTGTATTACTATTTCGGTTCCATTGAATTTTCAATTATGATCAGTGATGAAAAAATACGACGAACTGCTTATGTAAAGTTTTACTTTAAACACTTAATTATTGTACATGCTCATAATAATTAAAAACATTTTTGAGCAACAAGAGTTTGAAAAATAGTAAGCGACAATTTATTAATTGAAAAATTGAAAAATTCAGTCGAAACATCTGTCTGAATAATCTACATATCATTCTAGTTCTATACTTATGTTACATCATAAATCCCCTTACCCTAGGTTATTTTTTTGCTTGAATTCTGTGCACCCTATTTTTTGTTTCTCAGTTACATCCAGTCCCTTCGTTTTTCTACAAACATCCCCTTCAGCTTTTTCTTTCTTGAAAGAGAGTTCAGTACAAACGCGTTGTTACTGTAACGGCCGTTCGGTTCATGTACTTCACTTGATTTCAGATAAAATCAAATATTATGCAACCAATAATAATAGGTTTAGTTGATTTATATGAAATTATTTACCTTTTGTTCGATTTAATAAATTAAAAAGTCTATAAAATCATAATTCCTATTGACACAGATAAAAAACTATCTATGATTATGATTCAAAAAGAATAACTCTAATTCGATTGAAAATTGTATTAAATCATCAGAAGTAAATCATACATATCAGGCCTTTGAGAGCATTAAGGAAATAAAACTTTTACTTTCTATTGTGAAATGATTAGAATTAATCAAAAGTAAGTAACTGTTAATACAATAAAATAAAATACTCGAAAATATTTTTTATTTGCATTTTTTTCTTAAACAAGCTCAAAGATAGTTTCAAACTCAATTTTTGAAACAAAGATTTTAGAAAGACTTAATTAAAACTAAATTATAGTTTGAACAATCTGGAAATGCTTGCATGTGTAAGTTAATATCCTCGAAAATACGCAAATGAGAGTTTTTCAAAATACGGCTGGTCAACTTTAGTCTGATGAGTTAAATTTTGTATGAATTTGAATTCAATTAAAATTTAGAGATGAAACTTTAGCTTCTCTTTAATTTCAAATATATAAACATTTACTTAATACCAAGGAAAAACTACAAAATTATTCTCGATCTAAATTTTTATTCAATAGAGTATCTAGTACTTGACTTATTAATAAGAAAAATGTTGATCTTGTTTCTCAGATTTTATTGATTATTTTTTATGCAAAAAACTATATGTGACACGTAATATATGGGTATGTATATCGACGCTCTCTACGAAGAGTAACACGTTTGTGTGTTAATTTAAATGGAAAAGTGTTACTCTTCGTGGGAAATGTCGATTTGTTTTTTTTTTTTATAAAAATCATAAAACAATTACAAACTAACTTATATTTCTTATGTTTGTAGAATTATATCTTTCATATTTCATCGACAAAATTAAGTATTGAAAACAGTCGTATAAAATCGTAACTCAAACTTTTATTACAGTATATTTACAATTATTTTACCGTAAAATCAAATTGACTAATTCCACAAATAAAACGTGACTTTTTTACATTTGCAGTTTGTACATTGTACTTTATTCGCTTTAAACCTAACTAATGGAGAGCATCTGCAAATTAATATTTTGCACTTGAAATCATATCCAATAAATATACAAACAAACAATTTTAAAATACCTAGTATGTTTGAAAATTCAATTGCACCTGTATAGTTCAAGAAAAATAGTATGCCTCAAGTTTAAAACTTTTTAAATACATTCATATGATTTAAATGAAAAAATGAATCAAAGATGAAAATTTGGTAATCATAGTGCATGCAGATTCTGCCTAATATAAGACATAATTACATATCATCGTGGCTTCAAGGGCTCTTAATTGGCTACAGATCGAAAAAATTTTAATTTCTTATTGAAAAGGACTTCCTAAACCTCTGGATTGAATTTTGTTAAATTTCGAGATGTCAACTTTTTACGACAAGAGTTTTTTTTGTATTCTTTGTGTGTACAATAAAATTCATAAACGCATTAACTTAATGTTATATTTGGAGCGAACTATTTGAAATACAGCACCTAGATCGTTTACATTTCTTCTGATCATGAATGGTTACAGCCACAACCTTGAAGAAACGATGTATTAGCCTGTAGCTAATTTGACACAATCATTTCAAAGAATTATACACAAGTCTGTTGCTATCACTGAAATGGTTCTCTCTAAACGTTACGACAGCAAAACAATTTTGAAAAACCGTAAAAAATCAAAAACAAAATGATAAATAATTCAGACAAAAATCAGCGAAAAACTTTTTTTCTTAACAATTTCGACAAATTTTTTTTATTACTACACCATCTAAATCTATATCAAAATATTTTGATATCCTCAAAAGTGAAATAATATTAGACTCCGCATATCTGAAGTGGTGCCTTTCAAATTGAGCTACAAAAAACAAATTGGTATAAAAACACGAAATGTAAAAAAAAGAATTTCTTACACATCTGCATCAAAATTCTATTGTACTCTAAAACAATTTTAATTAAAACGCTACTTCGAATTAAGAAAAAGCTTTGACCTCTATATACTTAAAAATTATTCATCGTTTTATCTCATACATTATAACACTTTGTTTATTATAATCAACTCACGTAAATCCAATCTTAAGTGTGACATACAGTACTATTATTAAAAACACTGTTGAAATTTTAATCAATAAATTAATCTATTGTAAATTTGTTTCTATTTTTAATTACCACTGAACTAGCTTGATTTTCTTAACAAGTATTCAATGATTCAGACAAAAGATTAAAAATTGTATTTTAATACTGCAAAATTTTCAATTGTAATGTGATGAAGAGATTATTATTATTATTATTATTATTATTATTATTATTATTATTATTATTATTATTATTATCGATTTATTTTTTTTTTAAGTTATAAAGAAAATAAGTATCAGTTACAGCTTGATCATAAAATTAACAGAAGATTTTATTTTAAATACAAAAATTATCTTTTAAAAATTCCTGTATATTATTTTGTCATCACCTCCAACTGACATAATTTTAATAATTTGAGTATACGTGGGTCACTGTTTAGAATACTTCATTCATTTTAACATTTTGATTCATTCTTATCAATTTAGAATATTAATTCGAATTGACTAAAACTAATGCAAAAAGATTTAATAATTCAAAACGATCTGAAAAATTGAAAAGTTTAGCAGAAAAAACTAGGGGATATCATTGTTTCAAATCAAATAATTTTGAAACCTTGAATGAAGCGTTTCATTTTTGTTTTATAGCAAGAAAAGTAAAATGTAACGTTTTTTGATGACAGAAAGAATTACTAGAAAAAGTGCAGTAGTGAGGAAGGAGAAAGAGCTGGTTCATGAGATCAAGGAAAGGGCAAGCAAAAACTACGGGCGAATAAGGATATGTGGGAGTGGGAAAGAGGAGGTATAGACAGTTCTCTCAGTGGGAGAATCACGAGAGTGATATGTACGCTTAATTATCCCAAGATTTCACTGCATATCCTCTTTTGTACAAGAGATTTTATAGTTTGCAAAAATCTTCCACTTGATGATGAAAAAAAAGTCATAAATCATTATCAATTTATTCAATGGGCTCTCGAAATTTTCTCATACATACTTGTGCATAAAATTTCTATTTAACAAAATATTGTATTACTTGTATTATTCAGTACTTGGAACAAATACACTGAAAAAATGTATTTATAGTTAAATTATAGGAAGTCAAAAATTTACTCGATTATAATTTAAAATTAATATCATTTAACCTATTAATATGCACCTTCTTATTATTTAACTTGGATATGTCGTAAATAATAGTAACAAAAAAAGAAATTAAGAAGAAATAAAATAGAGGATTGTTATGGAGAATATGAGTGCAAAAGATAGTAAAAACTGCATGAAAGACATAGGTATTCTATGGTAGGCGGCAGGGGCAGAGCCTCGACCTTATCTGAAGGAAGCTTGTCTGTTTGTTGCTAGTGGGGATATTGTAGAAGATTTCTTGTCTGTAGAAGGGAGAACTCTTGCACTCTGTACATGGCAGGGTACTATAGGTGGGGAACTAAGTATCCATGTCTTTGTCCAACCAGCATACTGCATACCACGAATCTTTTTCTCTCTACGTGCGCGTGCGCCCCTTCTCTGTTCCTCTAGCTTTATGAATATCACGTTCTCTCTACCTCACTTACTTGCTTCTTTTCTTTTCTCATACAGCTACTGTGCGGTGCCTGCTATTGCTACTGTTGTTGTTACCGCCGACGTCTTTTTAGATGTGGTAAAATGGAAAGAGAAAAGAAAGAGAGAGGCACGTGTGTGAGTAAGAAAACGGGGAGAAGAGTAGAGTCTCAAAAGAGAGGGGAATGTTCAAGTCTTACGAAGCAATGCAAAACATTTAGTTGGCAAAAAGTATTCAAGGGGTAAACACTGCCCCGAGAAATAATACGAATTTAAAGCAGACGAAGTGCTTCATGTAGTATTTAAGGACGAAAAACTATAAACACGTTCTGGCGCCGGTCTGACTGTCTGCCTGTTCCAACTTTGATGGTTTTATATTTTCTGCGATCGGGGTGATGTGTGGATATATATGTGTATATAAATATACATGCAATACGTATGGATATGTATATGTATATAATTATAAGTGTTTTTGAAGTTGTTGTGAATATGTGTTAAATTATGTGAATAAATATTGGAAAATCTTTCAAACGCGGAAAACAAATGATGGTGGAAAATTCAGAGTGATACAAAAATTAGTTCAGTATCAGTACTCAGTTTCTTCAAGTGTACCTAATTGTTGAAAGATGATCGTACTCTTTCATCTCTCTAGAATATTAAAATTTTTAAAAATTATTGCAAAGTTATAGATTTATCTTTTCATTTAATCAATATGAATTGTAATAAAAAAGATATTACAAAATTATACATCGATCTTGAACTACATAGTTCATCCAGTCAAAACTATAATCGATGAAAGAATTTCCTGTGAATATCCCGGTCATTTTGAGAAAAATTGGAGTGTGCTAAATTGTTCTTTCAAAAATGGAAGTTCGTGCTATGGAATATCGACCGGTTGTTTCCAGTCTACAGGACTACCATGCATCGATTCCAGACTTAAGTCCACCAAGAAGTCAAGGGTCTTCAACGGGTGCCAATTCAACTTTAGGAGATTACACGCCTCGTTTATATACTCCACCTACACCACCGACAGCAAACGAAGATGAAAAGGTATTACATTATTTAATTTCGATATTTCCAGCTATACTTGAATAAAATATAATCGTCATTGTCAAACACATTGATGAGTACATCAAATTTCCACATTAAGAAAAAAATGAGTGATGATGCATGTACCAATACATTTCATTATTTCGAACGTAATTTCGTTTATACATTTTTAAGTAATAATAGATTATATAATTTTGTTGAACAGTTGAATTCAAATGAAAACTAAATGAAAAATTGTATGCACTGTTAATGTTTCAAAAAGTGATTCTATATTTGATATTTCATTTGAAAACAAATATTTTTTACCGCAATAATTAATAATGTGTTATATAAATCCAAGATCAATTAGAACAAGTTAGAAGCTATATCATTTTTATGATAAAGAGAACATTTTTTATGAGTTTATCATTTTAGAAAATTCGATAATAGATAAAAAACAAAATTTTCCATTTATATTAGATAAAATATTCAGAATATTATTTTAATTAACTGTAGTTTCAGGAATAGTTTTTTTTACTTTAGAATATATAGAATATTAGACTTTTTAATCATCTTTTTTTTTCATTGATAGCAATATGCCTTTGAAAAATTAATTTTACAATTTTTAGATGTAATAGCACCGGGTAGGTTGAGTATAAAATCTTTTTATTATAGCATTTAGTTTTAGTTTTAAACTCAAAATGAAAAAGAGTTGAATTTGTAAAAATGAATAAATACGGCGTGTTTGAACATTGGTGCATTTCATTCACATTCAATTTATGAAAAATCGTGTAATTTATTATTATTGACATTAGTATTTGTAACTTACTGTCGCAAAGAAATTATTTTTCATTTAGTTTTTTTCTTTCAAGTTTATAAATTGAAATTTCGATCAGTTACGTGAAAAATTCCGATAAAATGTAAAAAGAATTTTGTAGCAATAATATAAAAATCTTTACTCTGTGACTACTTTTCGGCTTTTCTGATATAAAATTTTGAGCTATATTTTTTTTATATGGTTTTTGAATAACTCACTAGAGCTCTACCTTGGAGCTGTAACCCCGTATTTGGTAGAGCACATACGCTCCGAGATCTTTCACTTACATCCATTATTATTGTCTCAAAAGAGAATTTGTGAGACTTGGAAATAAAAAAATGTATTATTGATTTTATAGCACTATGTGGCATAAGTTCACATTTACGGCACGCTTTTCTGTGGCATAAGTCGCACATTCTGGCACCGCTGCATTCGCAGGGTGGCAATGGCAGGGTTGCAAAAGGGGGCATAAGTGTGAACTTTGCACAGTACTATAAAATGTTGTTCGATACTCGGGCCATAGGGGACACTTTTCGGCCCAGCTATTAGGACCCTCACTGCGCTCGGGCCCTAAACTACGCCGTGCCAAAAAGTGTTACTTATGGCACTTGTATCGAAAACTACTATTTTGGGGTATTGTCCATTGGCATCTGTAATATTTTGAAAATTTAATGTGCGTATTTTTGGTACGGAATGCAAAATATTTACAGCACTAATATTTCAGAACGACATCTTTTTTATTTTCAAATTGGAGAATCAATTCAGACATATCACAAGGTTTCCTACGATATGTGAAACACCAATTTCATCCAAAATTGTAATATGAATACTCTATTCAGAACGATACTTTTAAGTAAATCAAAATCCTTAAAAAATATTACCTCACTTATTTTTTTTGTCTTATATTTCATTCAAATGTGGTCAAAAAGTGCGTTTTTCCATTATGGAGCATTCAAAACATTTTTTCAATTATTTCGTGATCTGGATTTCTTGTGATTTATTTTCTGATTCAAATTATTATTTGTGCTCGTTTATACATATAATATTACAAAATGAGTTTATTATGAATTTTTAATTGAACTCATATATTTATACTGCATTTGTAAATTCTACCAAACGTAACATATGAAAAAAGATTACATGCTAAATTGGTTAGTCGCTGCATTTTATGTAAACTAGTTTATGGAGAGTCCAATCTTAATTAAAAATTTTGTAAAATATGTATTATAGGATATGATTTAATTTTACGTTTTAATCAACTTATCATTCCTTTAAAAGGCCAAATCAAAATTCAAAACTTAAATCGTATCTGTTGTTTTTGTAGAATCCTAAGAGAATTCAATTCTTATGAGACTTCAGTGTCGTACCATTTTATTTTTGGGATCCTTGGCTATAGCTACAATCTCGGATAAGACTTCAAATTAAGCATCCCTATGTTTTTATTAGTTTTAACACCTTTTTATTTTCAATTTTTACACATTTTTGGATAATTTTATTTGTTGAAAACTCTGTACAGAGGTCCGATCCATTTTCCTGAGGTTGAGTCATATACGCACTCATGTCTTACAGAAACTCCTACAACCAGGAACAGTAGCTTCAACAAATTTGATAAAAAATTCTACTTACATTTAAAAATAGTACTTTACGATACAAGTGCCATAAGTTTGGCACGGCGTAGTTTAGGGCCCTAGCCCAGCGAGGGTGCCACTAGCTGGGCCGAAAAGTATCCCCATGGCACGAGTATCATACTAGTACATTATGAAACAGTGGCATAAGCAGCAGATTATGTCACGGCAGAGTAAAGCGCCCGAGCACAGCAAGGGTGCTTCTGCCGTGCTCATTATGTGCTACTTATGACACGTGTACAATATACTTTTTTTATAGCACTGTGCTAAGTTCACATTTATGCCCCTTTTTCCGAGTTATAAATCGTACATTCTGGTACCGCGGAGTGAGGTTAGCGCACGAGCGCAGCGAGTATGATAGGCGCGACGTGGTGCCAGAATGTGCCACTTATACCACCGAAAAGCGTGCCTTAAAATGTGAGCTTAAGACAAGCAGTGCTATAAAAAATTTTTTTGTTTCACATTTTCATGTCATTCGAATCAACTACATAATTCATTACTATTCATTCAGATAGCATGATTAATGAAAAAGTAAAATTATCTTCCACTTCAATTATTTTAAAAACTGCATTGATTCATGTGATATCAAGATATTAAAAATAATATAGGTCCAGTATTACAATTTTAGTTCATTCAAAAGAGATGAACAAGTTTATTTTCTGAATTTTGTACTATACTTGAATTTTCACACAGCTTTGGCTATGAACATGATTTTCGATTATTAATATAAATTCCTCGTCCAATTTTATATTAAATACCATTATTCAAATATTTTTACTAATCACCCCAGAAAAGCAGAACTAAATTTAAAAAATTAAAATCCAACAATAAGCTTCTGTAGATCACTAAGGAATCGACCTAGATTACCGATAACCCAAGAGTGTCGACATAGTCGGCACCCGTGTCATTTTGGCTTCCACTCGTGTTAGCGTATCTTGTACTCGTCCGAACACTATGCTCGCCTTTTGGATACTTGATGCATAAGTAGTTATTAATTGGATAATGCCAATAATGCGAATTGCCAATGTGTTTTTCCACGATTTTCAAAACATAAAAACGGTGAATAAAAGTTTACCCTTAAAAAAAAATTGGTTTGCAAATAGACATATGATGTCCACAATGCACAATTTTTTAATACATGAATTAAGTATTTTTTTTCGAACATTTTTTTTATAAAATATACTGAAATGTTTTACGAAGCTCTTATAACTTATTATTTTTAATGATTCTATTTCAAAATTGATGTTTCTCATAAAATAATATATTACTGCCTTAGAGTGCTAGACATAGAAAAGTCTCAGGGTGCGTGCAATTAGTTGATAATTCCCAAAGCAGACTATATATGATTTTTCATACCCTGTGGCCCGGAATTTGCTTTTTCCGTTTTGCGCAGTGGCAGGAAAATAGTCACTTTTAGACGCTATTTAATTAACCATGGTGAGAATTCGGTAGGAAACACATGTCATTTAAAAGTTCAAACATTTTATGTCATGGTTTGAAGTGATTTTAGGGTCTTCAAAATATATAATTCCCAAGTTTTTTCACGATTTTGATAGAATTTTACGATTTCGAAGAAGGTCACGGGGCTTAAGTATTTTTAGGCTGAAATGTGTTAAATACAAATTAAATACGAAAAATAAAATATGATAATGTATCTATAATTGAAAAAAGATTAATTAAAATGTTAAAACGAATTATAAATAATAATTTATTCTAATTTTACGTTTAAATGCATGATTTTTTCCTTTATTTGAAAAAATAAAATAAATCATCTCGATATGCATGTATTCTTTTCTCTCTAATATGCATAAGCGTTAAAAAGTTAAGATTAAGTTTAAAACAATACAAATAAGGTTTTAATAATTCTCTCAGATATTTTATCCTCGTTTTTTCAAAAATAAACAACTTGCATTCTTATTAAAACAAATGATCAAACTAAATATTTGTCGCCCCTAAAATGATTTTATTCTCCGATTTTTTTTCTCAAGAGCGGCAAATCAAAGAACTTCAGAAGTGTATTTCTTTGTCGTTTTAAAAAGAATTCCTCAATGCGATGCGCTAACTTGTCGCCAAAACTATAAGAAAGACGCCGACAAAAATATATAAGGGGCTCAATGAATTATAAAATGATGCAGACGCAGGAATTGCGAAATACTTTTTGAATCTGTATAAAATCTAATTTAATTCATTTTTTGTTATAAAATAAGCACCGAAGGTAAAAAGTAATATGCTCGTAATATTCATGAAAAAAAGTTCAGAAATCTTCATCTTACTAATGATAATTTAATAACATATTAGAATTTTTGTTTGGTGATTTTAATTGAATAAAATATTAAATAATAAATGATAATATTTAATAGCGAAAAATTGAAATATTTTATAAGAAAGTTAATAAAATTAAAATATATGGTTCCCTATAATTATAAAATTTAGCTTACGAAATTAAACTTATTAATTGAATTATTTCTAATTATGCTATATCTAGAAGTTATAAATTAAAAATGAATAATGAGTCTATACAAGATCTATCTCGAGGCACATGTAGATTGAAATAATATTTCAAGTCTTTAATTTAACACTAGTTTTTTCAATCTTTTAGTTGTATAACCAATTCGAGTAGAAATTTTACTTTCTAAACGTAACCTTCGACATTCTTACAAGTACATGTATGAGCATAATTATTAAGTTGTTTTATTGGTGTTATGATTACTGAAAAAAGAACATTTACTTTTTATTTTTACGAGTGTAAAATTTTGTATACTATTATTCAAAGCATGAATTTAAATTGCATATAACATTCGATACATAAATAGTAGGTGCGATTTTAATTATTTAATATAGATATTATAATCCTTGTTCGTGTATCATAACTATAATTAATATAGATTTGTTGAAATTCATTGAAAATTTGTTGTTGAAAAATTAAAGATCTGAAAACGACCATAAATTTTTTAATATTTAGATTGTTTCTAAAAAATTTTTTCCAACCAATTGTAAGGCAAATTTTTTTGATAAAACCAGTACTCATGAATATATTACTCAGTTTTTCATGTTTTTTCCTCTGGAGATTATTTTATAATTGAATATTTAAAAATTAATGTCCAATGTGATTTTTTATATTAAATCCCCCAAAGGTAATTGCTTATGATGGTTAAAATAAGTTTTCTATTGAAGACAATTCCAATATCTGTACGTTTATTTATAATAGCAGTGCATATGTAAACATGCCTCAGCTAAAATTTCAGCTAGCAAAATTTCAGCTAGCATTAAATTTAAAAAAAATGTATAAATTGTATGAAAATTTTGCAGATTTGATAGAAGCGTAATTAATATTTAATATTAAATATTCACTTTAATACATTTTTTTTAACATTTGATGTAAGTATTTCCTACCAGAGGATTACGGAAATTTCGTGATTTTTTCACGAAGAATTTATAAAAATGTATCGAAGTCTCGAAATTATATTAATTTTATTCAACTTTTTAAAGGTTAAAGTAGAATTTTTAAACATTGCAAAACTTGTACAGAATATTTTTTTAAAATTTTCTGTGGGAACCTTAAGATGACTCTTTACCTAAACTTTTTTTCATATCTTGGTCTTGAAATTTTGGGAGAACGTTAATGAGTAATTCAACGATCTCCCTGCAAAATTTCATACGCTGTTGCCATACTAATTTTCGAGAATTAAGTCATCGAAAATTGACTTTTTAACACGACCTGTATGAGTGCACATCTACTTTTGGACGCTTCTTATTGAATAACTCTCAAAATATATCATACACTCTTCAAAAAACTGATAATATAAAGTTGAAGGTATACGCTTTCGATTAGTATATTAAAAAGTACATGTTGACATGCTAATTATTGTAATATTTTCCCGAGAAAGTGAATTTTTATGGTCCGATTAAGGTTTTGTCGTCCGCTAAAGAGGAGAGGGGACGCTTACAACACTACAGCATGAGACCCTCGGGTACAACAAGAGTCAAAACAAACTAACAAAGCTCGTATTGACTAGCCGAGTCAGTAAAGAGTCACCTTAAGAACAAAGATTTTTTCAAACATTTTGCTTAAGAATGAACTAATCAGATTTTGTAAAAGCAAAACTTGATCTCTATACCCACAAAACGAAGCAGTAATGATCTATGCACATAATATTACTAGTATTGAAAAAAAAAATTATAAACCTTCATAAAATTTAAAACACACTAAACACATTTAAAAGACACTTTTGATCAATGCAAAACGCTATAAAAGCCTAAAAAAATGTTGTTAAAGTCTTAGAAGTTTTTATCAAACACTTAAAACTTTTATAAATGTTTTATGATATTTATATTAGTCCAAAATTAAAACTTTCATTGAAAACTTATAAAAGTACACTGTCCGTGGACTAATTTTGTCCTTTTGACACGAATTCGGACGGTATGGGACTTGTATAAGCATACGACGTTCCGTAATTCAGTGGACAAAATTAGTCCACGGAAAGTGTATATACAATTTTTTAAAAATAAATGAAAATTATACGTTCTTTCCATTTCCGTCGGGTTTTGATACGAAAACAGTCAATAGTTTTCAACTTTTGACAGTAATGATCGACTATCTAAGGAAAGTCGCAATTTATCCGCTCGTTTAAGTTTCTTGTGTAAAACGAGGGGTTGCAGCACAAGCTAAAAGCAAGCGCAAAAAAATATATCAGATATATCACTGCATGTATTATAAGTAATAAACTAGATTCATTTTCTCGGACAATATTCTCACATGATTTCATATGTTTCTATTATGCAATAAATGAATCATTAAAAAACCTTATTTGTGTTGTATTTATCGAAATGTGCTTGAACGTGCGTGCTACTCAAAGAAAAACGTGTCAAGCCATGTTTATAAATGGACGTACTGGACACATCCAAATACTAAAATAGTACTTTGGCTCTTTTATCACTTTTTCTATCACCAACTCTTATTAAAAAAATCGCTGCCAATTCTTTGGCAAAGAGCTTTCTCGTAGTAACATTGTCCTTCATATTTCATTTAAAAATACTCATCGAGCAATTTTGAAAACTTAATCTCTGTGAACAAATGAAATTTCCCAAAAATATAGATACAAACATTATTCTTCTTCCGATATAACTTTTGAAATAATTGATGCATGCTAAAGTTTTTTATTGCATGCTCATCTGTCATATGTACCTTTTATTATTTAAATTAGTCCCGTGAACACCTGAACTGACCTATCATTACAAAGCTCTGTGCCGCATGAATTTGAATGGTATCTTTGACCACTCTTGATTCTAAAGGTCTTACAATTTTTTTAATAACATTCTCTTCCACTGCATCCATTGAGAAATATACTATTTTTGACTTTTTTAAACTTTTTTGATATTCTCAGATTTTTCAAGACCATTGAAAAATTGAACAAATTAGGGTGGTATCAGTCGACATTCCAGAATAGTCTGTGAATTTTTTGGTGAAATAAGTTTGGGTTGAACTTAATCAGATTTCAACATTTATGTTTTTTGCTACAGCAGTATAAGCTCTTGAAGTGCTCCGACTTTTTAAATGTACACTTATTCTGAACGTTTGGACATTTTTAAATAGAAGAGGTCTTTGGAATTTTTTTTTTAAGTTATTCTATGCCAAGTTAGACATTTTTCAAATATTTGTAATAAGCTCGAAATTTGGAAAGATGCCAAATTCTGAATGCTAAAAAGTTACACTGGTTTAACATCGATTCTGTCTGGTCCAACAGAGTGTTGGAACGTGTTTAAGCATAGGAAATTCCATCAGACAGAATTGATGTTAACCCAGTGTATACAGATGACCCGAAAATAGCTAATGACGAAGGTGAATTCAGAAATAGACTCTTTTAGATAGGTAACACTAGCTCTTTTTGATGAACCAATTAGCAGTTTTACAATAATGTTTAAAACGTGATTAAGGGTGTTTATTATTCTCACCATATTGATATGATCGATGATGCTACATCTTATTTGAACTAATTTATTTTTTTTTTGTTCCAGATATTTAGAAATAAAGCGGATCTTCAGTTACATACACAAATTCACATGAGAGAAGCTAAACCATATAAATGCACTCAATGTACAAAAGCATTTGCAAATTCTTCTTATCTATCACAGCATACTAGAATTCATTTAGGAATAAAACCATACCGTTGTGAAATATGTCAACGAAAGTTTACGCAATTGAGTCATTTACAGCAACACATTCGAACTCATACTGGAGATAAACCTTATAAATGCCGTCATCCCGGTTGTAGTAAAGCATTCAGTCAGTTGAGCAATTTGCAAAGTCATTCAAGGTGTCATCAAACAGATAAGCCCTACAAATGTAATTCGTGTTATAAATGCTTTTCAGATGAACCTAGTCTTCTGGAACATATTCCAAAACATAAAGAATCGAAACACTTAAAAACTCATATATGTCAATATTGTGGTAAGAGTTATACTCAGGAGACATATTTAGCTAAGCACATGCAAAAGCACGCTGAACGTACTGATAAGCGACCTCCTATTATTAGTGCAAGTCTTAGGCCTGCAATACATTCAATGGCTGCAGCCGCTGCAGCTGCAGTTGCACATCACCAAACTGATCATTACTGGTCCAAAGTCAGTTCTGATTCTGTACTTAATGATCTCCATGAACGACTCCCTCATCACCATCATTCTTCTTCAAACCAAGACTACCATCAAAGCCAAACACAAAATGAAATTTTATTGTCTCCTCCGACTCAATCTCATCGAGAAGTCTTGGAAGCAGCCGCTGCAGCTGCAGTTGTAGCCGCATCCGCTACATCCGATACTCGTCAACAAACGTCGCATTCAAATCATTCACATGGACATGGCCATCAATCTGCAAACAATCCAAATAGCAGTTCAGCATTCACTCCCATTTCATCTATTTCAATTAATTCGATTTCTTCAATGCAGCATTCTTTAAATCCACTAAATCATCTCCACTACTCCACCAGTCATCATTCTGGTCCAAGGCCGTACATTTATGAGGCTTTTAATACTTCTCAAAAGTCGCCATCAAATCTTACTTCAGTAACTTGCAGTGTAACATCTTCCACGTCATCTACTCATACATCTTCCACACCATCCTCAAATCAAAGTACGTCTTTCCCGAATCAACTCATAAGTTTACATCAAATTCGTAATTACGCTCATCAGCCAAATCTAAGTAACCTCAATACTCTGCAAACGAATACGGAAAATCATACTCTCATCGGAGGTATCAAAGATAAGCAGTAAATATTAAGTATTAATATATATATTCTTAAAATGTGGTGCTATTTAAATAAGTAAGGCTAAAATGGATATTATAGATATTATTATTGAATATTTAATATTTATAAGATATTTAAATTACCCAGAAATCATTTTAGTAATAGACATTGGAATGGAGAAACTTATTACCATATGATACACAGATCACCTCAGTACTTGGATATCATCAAATTGTACGTGACAAAATAAACAACGCATAAAAAATATTCATTATTACTTAAAAAAATAACAGTAATAATTGTAATAATAATAATAAAAATGATAAAAATAATAATTATTATAATTATAATAATTACAATAATAATAACAATAATAATGATACTACTACTAATAATAATAATAATAATAGAAATGGTAATGATATATATGTATAACATATGATGAAAATTAACTCAAAATCAATACAAATGAATCCTAAAATTGCTCGTCAAGTAGCAAAAAATAAACGCATTTTAGATGCATGTTAAATTAATATATTCATCGTTTTGTTTTTTTTGTTGAAGATTTTTAAATTTGAAGTGTAGATAGAATAGTGCTTTATAAATTGTTTTATGCAAAGAGCAATAGTTTTAAAATAAATGTCTCTTTGAATATGGTTTGGATTTAAAAATCCATTTAGTAAAATGTATCAAACCAACTAAAGCACAGCTTATGCATACCTATTCATACGGAAAAAAGCTTTTGCTAATTTTTTTTTATAGGTTTATATTCTTAAATATTTATTATCCTAGCAAAAATACTACTTCTCAATAGGCTAAGAAATCTGAAAATACTTATCGTAAATTCATCAACATTACAACTTGATAGTATTTAACTCTCAGTATTAATGTAAAATTTACCGAGTTCAAAATTAAAATAAATTTTAAAAGCTATGAATTAAGTATATAAAATTCAATGATAAAAAATGAACAATTGACTCAAACGATAAGTTAAATTTCCAGTTCATTTTGAAAAACGCTTAAAATAAATTCAATTGTTTATCGTCAGCTCACATTAAAAAGTCTAAAAGATAGTATATTTCTCAACTGGTGCACATATGGTTTTTTAGCAAAACGAGGGATTATAGCACGAGCCGAAGGCGAGTGCTGTAACGAGTTTTGTTAAAAAACCATATCTGCACCAGTTTGAGATACTATTTTTTCCTACGAGAGCCTAAAATTAGCGGCAAAGTTGCGTATTTTAGGTTAGAGTGGGAAAAAGTATTTCTTTCGAATCTTTCAACAAAAAAATATTAAAAAAGTGTTTGTTCACCTGACCACTAAGCCTTTTTTTAGAAAGAAGATAAAAATTATTCACTATTTGTATTTTATTATTCCTGGGAGAATTTTAACTTTTCTTCATAAATTGTAAATATAATTTCAATTCCCATGTATAATCCCATACAAACCCGTATTAGTTTTGAAAATTTTGATCTTATTTTTCTCAAAATCATGGCTTGGTTCGCCAAACAGGTTCATACATTATTGTTAATATACACACGTAAATGGAAATGCTAAAAAATTAAAAGGTAATTACACTATCAAAATAGCGCCCTACTAAATCAACCACTAATGTCAAAGTCACTAATGTGAAAAAGTCTAATACTGAAAAATAGAATGAATTAGGCATCAGTTTTTTTCGATTTAAACATTGGTTGGCTATTTTTATGTAATATTTTTTTGAAATTTCTATAGCTTATATCTAAAGAAAAAAAAGGAAGATGCTCTATCCTACTAACTTATATGCACAGTACGTTATTAATGTGATATGGCCATGTTAAATTCAGTACTGTCTTTACACGCTCGCATTAAATCACAAAAATCGAAATGATTATATGCATTTAATAAAAAATGCTATTAGTATAATAGCATTTATCACATTAGTACTCGATCAAAATTTTTGTATATGACCTGAAGGTCCATTATAAATTCAAAAATAGATGTCTAGTCCAAAAAGAATTCTTTGATATAATCTATAATGTATCCTCAAATGCCTGACATGTCGATGTAATCGCCATGTTATGAGAAATCTCAAAACTTAATGCGTGGTTTCACTAACCAAACATGCATCTTCGTAAAATTGTTGGAAATAGTATCAAAATTTTTATAATCCATCTTTTAAAGCCTTTCATAGATTTTTTTGATATTTTTTATAATTCCTAGGAGGTAAAAAAACCGAAAAAAAATTATAGTTAATCTTCAAAATGATTTTCTATTTTATTTAAACATCTTTTCGAGAAACGGTTTGAATGGAAAAACGCCAAGAACAAAGCAGTCTCAAAATTAGTTGAAAATTGACTGAATCTTTCAGAATTTTAGTGATCATCTCTTTTTAAAAGTATCTGAAATCTCTAAGAAAATTGTCATATTGGGGTCACTTCGTTTATTTATTTGCGTTTTATGAAGTAAATTAAAAATTAAGTGATAAATGGTCCCAAAAATTATGTAACACCCGATATATCCTTTGACTAAATTTCGATATTTGTATTTTTTTGTATAAGACGTACTTTTCGAGTTAGAAAATCGCAAAGATTTTTAAATAAAATGGAAAAGGATTTTAAAAATGGGCATCAAGGCCCAACGGAACAAACTAAATATATTGTGCTTCATTATTTTATACGAAAAAATTTCAAAAAAGAAATAGAATCCAGCAATAAATTAAAACTACTTGATAATGATTTTAATCCTGATATTCATATAGTCCAGGTAATATTTGGAATATAATTACAACTATTTTTTCCATAAAATATTAAAATCCTTTAATTCGTATTTTGTAACTAACGTTTTTTCGATTTTTTTTTATTTTTATAATTATTTTTATTTTTTTTAATGTCCTTTACGTGAATTGTAAATGTATTTCAGCGATACTTTACTTTTAGGCTGTATTACATCTGGAGTGATACAGCCCATATACTCGAATAAACGATTGAAATGAACTCGTAAACTCTATTTAATCTTCATTCTATTGTTAAGAAAGAATTTCAATTAACAATATTGATGGAATCGAAGTACTGAAATGGTGATGCTGTTTGTCTAGGAGTAGGACATGGAAATTAGTTTCAATATATATTATAATCAAAGAATCCATTATGAATTATAAATGCAAATTTAAATAATTCATTTTGGAGTCATTCTTTTCTAATTATGATCAATTGGGGTATTTTATTGTTTATTGTAGAACTGAAGCTACAAAATGAAACAAAATTTGACAAAGAAAATTCTCCTTATCTATTGGAAAAATATCGTTTAAAAAATTTATTGTTTTATAAAAGATTAAAAAAATTTTTGTATTTTTTTTTAAATTTTCAAAAATAATTAGGTTAGCAGAATGGAGTCATGATCAAAGCTGGCTAGTTTTTTCTGATCTTGTGATAGTGTCAAATATTTTTCTGAGTAAAAAGGAAATTCTCAATAAATTTCAATTTAAAAAATTTATAGATATCGAAAAATGATAAATTTTTTTACATAATTGGACGTGAAATCAATTCGAAGTTTGTTAAATTTTTAACTAATGGCACAATGAGTAATTAATTCATTATTATTATTCTTATTATTATTATTATTATTATGAATCTCACATCTACTATCTTATTAATTTTAGTATTTTGAATATTAGTTTCAATCCTTATAAAAATTTTCAAACATTTTTTAATTGATCAAAAAGTTATTTAATTAATTTCTATACTAAAAAATCTTTTAAATCTTCAATGGAAACAACATTAATAATATACTTGAGTTCAAATTTAATTTTATAGCACTTTACACTAAAAACTGCAACCTTCCGCTTATTTTAAACTCTTGTGCTGTAAAAGATTGAACGCAACTTGTGTGAATAAGCTTTTTTAACAAAACTCGGGATAGCATTAACCTTTGGCTCGTACTGTAACCCTTCGTTTAGCAGATAAACCATATCCACATTTGTTGCATGAAGTACTGTTTCGTGCAGGGTCATTAGTGTTTGGTACGCAAAGCTTACGAAGCATGATTGGTACAAAATTCAAATGAACTAGCCAGAAATAATGTTGTATATATTATTTTAAAATATTTTACAAAAATATTTTGGTTATAACTCAATGTGATAGTTTTAAATTTTTCCCTGCATCAAAGTGTATTAAAATATATTTTAAGTAAAAATTCTTATCATGGCTTTTACATTCCATGAGTAAAATTTTTTTCAAGTTAACTACTTTAAGAGTAAAAAACAATATTTTTTCAAACCAATAGTGTAGAGAATTTTCAGCATAACTTAAGTATTCGGAATGATATTTCTCTCGATTTTTTTAAGATATTAAAAACATATAGCAGAAGTTTACTTTTATGATTTCAACTCTGTTACAAACAGATAAAGGTGCTTTTGAGACGTGTTTCGCGAGCTCAGTGATTTAGTATGTACAAAATAATCAATATGTAACTTTAATGAGATGTTTCAGAGATACAGTTGAATATCGATAATAATATTTCATAGTTATTTCGTCCATAGAAGCTGATTAATGAATAACAGCTTAAAACTATTCGAGGACTTATATACATTTTGGAATTAATCATTAAGAAAATATGTACGTTCATTACATGCAAAATGAAACGTAATTTCGCATAAAAACTCATACACGTTTTATTCGTTAGTAACATTAAAATGAAAAAATAACTGTTCTTTTATATTCAATGAAAAAAGTATTGTTCGCAACATTTTTTCAAATTCATGATATTTCGTTATTCCATAAGACTTGACCATTTCGATGAATTGTTTTTATTTAATTGAAATGAATTTAATTTTAATGTTTGCCAAAATAGAATTTAAATGAAAAATATACTTGCGCAACATTCCAAATAAAATATTCTCTAGAGTGATGTAAAATATTTAATCAAAAATTCAAACTTTTGAAGATTGTTTATAAGCATATGATAAATAAGCCTCTTCAAAGGGTTTTAATCAATTGTTAAAAATGTTGAGTCAGTATCACTTGAAGTTGCTTTTGAACTTCTAGAAACGATACTAAAAAAGTAGATATAAATGATCTCATAAGACAATGTACTGTATTTTAGTTACTACATTTCCACATTAATCTCAGTCTCATAAACACTTTGCAATAGTTTATATTGTTGATTATTTATTTTTCAAAAAAAAAAAAAACGATAAATGGATACGACGTTATAATAGTACAAGGTAGGGCCGGAATGTAGCCTCTATTACTGTCATTTAAATACGGTTAATCACTAACTTTCGAT